AATTTGAGAATATTTATAAATAGTTGAATTTTTCAGCGAGTCGAGGCGGCCGACCGCCATCGGCGGGGCGCATGGCTGGTGGACCGCCGATGCTATTTTAAGCTAAATCGATATATTGATCTCATATTTGATATCCAAACTGATACACCCCGACCCGGAATGTCCACTAGGACTCCGAATCGAGCTGTGCTGGTCGACACCTGGAAGGTGACAAAGCCATAAAGTGTGATGATGTGTAAAATGTGAATAAATTTAAGCCTAAAAGTGCCTAAGTACACAAGTGCGTGGTGAGTGGGTATGGACCCATTTTACATGTGATTACAAAGCATAAGTAAAGTACAGTAAGGTAAGATAAGGATTATACCATCATAGGAAGCCACCTGTACTGGGATATGCCAAGAATCTACGTCGACACATAAACTTTGCTACTAGAACCTAGAGGGGTGCAAAACAGAAAACGTGAGTGGGCAAAAACAAAGATTTTTAAAACCATTTCTCTTTTCAAACATTATAACCCCTTACCGTAAAACCTGTATAATTTCCCAGAAAATAATCATACATATGTATATAGAAATCATGGTCGAAAGTAGTGAAAACCAAGTATATGCCATTTCAAGTATCTCAACAATGAACTAAGTAAGTCAGGTGAAATTAATCAATATAAAATGATATGTCAGCCAGAGTCACCTAACGTGACTTGTACGGCTAAGTCCATAGCTCATCAATCAAATCCTGCACACGAGTCAGAACCACCTAATGTGGTCTGTACGACAGGCTAGGTGTAAATAAATACTCTTAAGTGTTACGATCCCGTGAAGACTATGCGAAGTATCGCAAGTCACCTACGAGTCGGAACCACCTAATGTGGTCTGTAGAACAGGCTGGCATCTACCTTGGATCCATGGTGAACGTGTGGTGCGGGAGGTGAACGATCACGTGAAGGCTAGGCCCTAACCACAGGTGGAGCACTAACATTGGGGTGTAGGATATTAATCACTAAATTCAACTCATCATAATTATACACACTACCATCGCTACCATCACTATACTCACTTGAAGCTTACCTGAGCGTTCGTAGCATCATGCAACATTATGCATAATTACCCTAATACATATACAAAAATATAACGCAAGTATGAAATGGCATTTCAATCACATTTCATTTAAAACAGTTTCTCAGAAAAAACATAAAGCATACATACATATATATAGAAACCAAAAGCTCACTCACCTGGAGTCCATGCTACAATTCCCTAGCACAAACTTCGAGACGTCACGAACAATCGGCGCCTAGAACAATTATCAAATCACATCTCAGAATCCTTACTGATAGAACACGTAATTTACATAAAACACATCCCTACGTAATTCGATCCGAAAGATCCGCATCACAGATTTCCGATCCCTTACTTCCAAAGATCCACATTATGCTTGTAGAACAATATCCTAAAGTTCCATTATGATCCAACAGTTGGATCTCCGCCAATTACAAATTCAAGTGGCGGCTAACGTTTTATTTTATGAACTTACAAATCCAATTTGGGAAGATCAATACGTCAGATTCCCGATCTGTAAGTTCCTATGATTCTCAAATATTACGTACTATAACATATTAAAGTTTGGTGACGATCCAACGGTTGGATCATCGATTCATATAATTATCAAGTAACGCACCATAATCAAACTAGGTTCACAATAATCAAATCACATCATATGTATATCGAATCTGAGATTAATATATCGATTTTAGTGTAAAATAGCATCAGCGGTCCATTGGCCATGCACCGCCGCCGGTGGCGGTTGGCCGCCCCGACTCATTGGAAAATTTAACTATTTCTAAAAATTCTAAAATTTTACAAGAATGAAGATCTCAATGAGTGGACGAACTTTCATACCAGTGACTAAGGCCAATTTGTCTGGGAAAAGCCCCAATTTAGCTTGAACCGTACGGAACCCTAAACTTGGGTGTGTTCGATTCAACCTCCAAACTCACTCCAACGCCTCAAACATTTCTTGGGCATTGTTCTTGGAGTTGAGGGGAGCCTATTGATGGTGGTGGTGATCGGAGTTACATTCAAATTTGGTGGATTGCCACCACGAGCCCGTCGCACCTCGTACGGGTGCACACTATTTCGAGGTTAAATTCCTTCAAATTTGGGGTGGAATAGGTAGAGGGAAGGCCCTATAGTGTTTCCCAGGTGGTTTGGTGGTTTAGATTGCCAGAAAAATGGTGGAAAATCACCGAGAAGGGGAAGATCTGGGTTTGGTCCGAAGGTTATACGGGTCCGCCCTGCGTTTTCTCTTTTTCTTCCTCTCTCCTTTCCCCTCCTTTCCTTCTTCCTGATTGGGAAATTTCATCCCTCTTCCCTCCTTTTCTCTCCTCTTCTTTTTATCCTAGCCACACACATGGCTTCACATATCTTTGCTCCAAAAATCTGGAGCCTTCCAAGTTAAATAAAATTACGAAAATATCCCTAACTTTAAATGTTAATAACTATTCCGTCATAACTCCAAATCACGCCCTGTTTGCACCCACGCGTCCGTAGCGATGTGTACTACGAGGATACATCATGAAAATGATCCTTACATCACACGATACAACAGCCAACAAAATTCAACGCATTTGCCTCGAAGGGCATTTTCGTAAATTCATTTTTTAATTTATAAAAACTATAATTTTTAGGGACGGGTTGTAACATCCCACATCGCCCAGGGGAGTGATCCTTAAATGTATATTCTCATCCCTACCTAGCACGTGACCTTTTGGGAGCTCACTGGCTTCGGGTTCCGTCGGAACTTCGAAGTTAAGCGAGAAGGAGGTCAGAGCACTCCCAGGATGGGTGACCCACTAGGAAGTTGCTCATGAGTTCCCAAAAACAAAACCGTGAGGGAATGGTAAGCCCAAAGCGGACAATATCATGCTACGGTGGTGGAACGGGCCCGGGATGTGGTGGACCTGGGCCGAGATATGACAATGGTATCAAAGCCAATCACTGGCCGGAAGTATGCCGACGAGGACGTCGGGCCCCTAAGGGAGGTGGATTGTAACATCCCACATCACCTAGGGGAGTGATCCTTAAATGTATATTCTCATCCCTACCTAGCACGAGGCTTTTTGGGAGCTCATTGGCTTCGGGTTCCGTCAGAACTTCGAAGTTAAGCGAGAAGAAGGCCAGAGCACTCCCAGGATGGGTGACCCACTGGAAAGTTGCTCGTGAGTTCCCAAAAACAAAACCGTGAGGGAATGGTAAGCCCAAAGCGGACAATATCGTGCTACGGTGGTGGAACGGGCCCGGGATGTGGTGGACCCGGGTCGGGATGTGACACGGGTCGTTACAAACATATTTTAAGAAATAACTGTTGATATATTTTAAAACATAAATTAAATACATACAATTAGCATGGGTACATTTAGCAAAATAAAAAATGGGTACAAATACAAATAAGAGTTTAAAAAATATGGGTACAAAAATGAATTAATATATGGGTATAAATTAAAACTGAAAAGAAAATTAGTACAAATTAAAAAAATGGTTGCAAATTAAAAATGGATACAAACTAAAAGTAAAAATATATGATAAAAAATTTAGCCATGAATATAAATATAACAAATGTAACGTTTTTAATACCAAATGAATATATTTAGAAATAAAAATATTTTATTATTAAAATAATTAATAACGTTTATTAAAATCTAAGAACCTTGAGAAAAAAATTAAAAAGGAATAAAGTTTTAATCAATGAAGTTGGAAAAATAGGGATGCGAATCTAATTTTTCTGAAAATAAAATATAGGACCTAAAAATGAATACATTTATGATCTCTCAAGTTTCGAACCATATATATAATATAATACATGATGTATCAACTGAAATTTGCAAACCTAATCGACATTTATGTCAAACACATGCTATTTTAAGAAGCAAAATATCCACAAACAAATTAAAATAAGAAAAACCAACAAACAAACAAACAAACAATGACAGCCTAAAAGCTTTCCCCCATCCCTCTTTCGGGTAATGTTAGAGATACTAAATTTTGAAAATTAAACGATATAGAAGTTGATGATTAGTTTATTACTTAAGTATTGATAAACATGCTCATTTCTATTAGTGACACATTTTTAAGTTTGCAAATTTTATTTTAAAATTTAGTCTTTCTAACATTACCCACATCTTTTAGTTTGCAAATTTTATTTTAAAATTTAGACTCTCTCTCTCTCTCTCTCTCTCTCTCTCTCTCTCTCTCTCTCTCTCTCTCTCTCTCTCTCTCTCTCTCTCTCTCTGCGCCATGGACCATGCGCTTGGGGAGTACTAGGAAGCAGTGAACATCTCTTGTGCCGACTCTCTCTCACTGCCATGGACCATGCGCAATTTAGTCTTTCTAACATTACCCACATCTTTTAGTTTGCAAATTTTATTTTAAAATTTAGACTCTCTCTCTCTCTCTCTCTCTCTCTCTCTCTCTCTCTCTCTCTCTCTCTCTCTGCGCCATGGACCATGCGCTTGGGGAGTACTAGGAAGCAGTGAACATCTCTTGTGCCGACTCTCTCTCACTGCCATGGACCATGCGCAATTTAGTCTTTCTAACATTACCCACATCTTTTAGTTTGCAAATTTTATTTTAAAATTTAGACTCTCTCTCTCTCTCTCTCTCTCTCTCTCTCTCTCTCTCTCTCTCTCTCTCTCTCTCTCTCTCTCTCTCTCTCTCTCTCTCTCTCTCTCTCTCTCTCTCTCTCTCTCTCTCTCTCTCTCTCTCTCTCTCTCTCTCTCTGCGCCATGGACCATGCGCTTGGGGAGTACTAGGAAGCAGTGAACATCTCTTGTGCCGACTCTCTCTCACTGCCATGGACCATGCGCTTGAGGAGTACTAGGAAGCAGTGAACATCTCTTGTTCCGACGAGTCATTGGAAGATTCATGGCCACCGTGCTTGTTCACCAACTAATCCCAGCTTCCCATGCGATAACATTTCCACCAGTAGCTAGTCTTAGACCCACAAACATGTCGGCAGCTGCCCGTGTTTTGATCTCCACCGCGCATCAAAGCACGAGGTTTGGTGGGTTATGGCAGCCCACTTACACAGTGAGATCAGTTGCAGAAGAAAGTTCGAGCTCCAGCTCCAGCTTAGACGTTGGGGATGATGAGGTTATTAAGACAGAGCTTTTCCAAGCAATCAAGGGAATCAATAGAGGCATTTTCGGTGTCCCGTCTGCGAAGAAATCTCAGATTGAAGCTTTCGTCAACCAGTTCGAGTCTCGGAATCTTACTCCAGATCCTGTTCTTAATCTACAAAAGGTATCAAACAGAGTAGTTACTTCCGTATGAAGTTGCTAACTCTGTATTAAGTTGCTAACTCTGTATATAAATATATATTCTTTATTTTTGTATTTTGTTTAGGTTCAAAGAGGACAAGGCTGGGATTGAGGGACTTCATGTCCTTGGGTGATTTCTTCCAGAATATTAACATTGCTAAGGTACACACTACACAGAGTCTGTTAGTTCAAAAATTCAGATGGTCACAAACTAAGAAGCGATTTGAAAACCATTTCGTGTTATTTTATTTTATTTTTTATTTTTATTTTATTTTAATAACAAAAAACTTGTTTGGAAAACTACTTCGAATGCCAATTTAATAGTTTTCATGCTTTGGTTTTCATTAATTACTAATTGAGATTTTTGACACACCTCGACCCAGAATGTCCACTTGGACTCCGAACCGAGTCGTGCTAGCCAACACCTGGAAGGTGACGAAGCCATAAAGTGTAGTGATGTAGAAAATGTGTATAAAGTTAAACCTAAAAGTGCCTCAGTAATAGAGTGCATGATAAGTGGGAATGAACCATTTTCACATGTCTCGTAAGACTAAACTCATCATAAATATAAGTTAAGACATTAAGCTCATGAACCACAAATTTATACAAGTATTAAAATCACAATTCGATAAACACAATGACAAACTAACCCGTAAAAACAGTAGAGGAAGAAGCCAAAGCAGACTTCTAAACAGTGCACATTGTCCTCTATTACCAAACCAAAAGTACTCAAACTAACAATAGGTCTTAGTTCAATATTGAGCATATGTTTTGTAAGAGCAGTGGTCACTATTTATAATAGATTAATCCTAATAATTCACCTATTAGAATCACCATAGGATACCAACTATGAATCCAAACATTTATGAGTGCATCAGCAAAATAGACTTCCAGTCTCACAAGGGCTATGATAATCTGAATTAAATCCTACAAGAATTAGGATAGTTTTAAGCTTTCTAGCAAGACTGTTCAATGTCAATTGAAACACTACAACCGGCTATAATATTCAATTTCATACTCATATTCTAACATTATTCCACTTGAGTATGAAACATATTAATCACACAGCCTTTCATATTCATAGAAGTGATCACCAAATCTTTTGGATAACAAAAGCTTAACCTCACATACAACTTACCTATGTGCAACCTATATGCAAAATCAAAGAAACATTGTTGCAACCTATATGCAGATTCACATCACATACATTATATCTATACATTTCAAAATGCAGAATCAAAGAAACATTGCTGCAACCTATATGCAAACAGATTCCATGATCACATGCATCCGATTTGTATTTATAACAATGTGTTTTTACTTGACCAGAACAAACACATAAATTAGTTTGCTCCCACTATATTAAGTCAAGTTTAGTTCCAACCAATAGCACTAAACTTCTCATTACTTAAACTAAGTAAGTAATATAAATAATTCAACCAATTGCTTGAATAAAACCATAAATTGGTTTTCAAGCATCCAAATGAATTATAATGGCCGGCCTAAATACTCTTAGTCTTATGCTTACATTCGAACATATGATTCTCCCACATAAGCATAAGCAGAAAGTACTGCACAACCAATAAGAAACTAGAGATATGAACCAATTGGTTCCCGATTCCTCACTAGCATAATCTCAGTTTAGTCATATACACCTAAACCATTATGCAAATAGTCTATGTATCAAAAGATAGTCACAATCCATGCAGAAAAAAACTTATCTCACATAAACCCAAAATCACCAGTTTCAACAACGATCAAAATCAGAATCGCAAGCACAATATTTTTACATTCAATTTGATCCTAACCAGTTCAATATCTATTTAGCAAGATCAACCAAATCTTGATAATTTCTGGATATATATATCACAACAATATGTCTTGATTAAAACGAGATAATCAAGACCACTATTTCTTCTGGAGAACTCAAAATTCATCTTCCTCCCTATTTGCAATTTCAATCAAAACATAATAGTAGAAGCATGCATCATAAATGAAATCACAAATAAAACCCAAAATTACACCAATGTATACAGATCCACCATATATGCACAATAACGATTCTAGACAATTTCACACATATATATGTTCATTCATCTGTTCATATATTTTCTTGTATGCATGCATCAATATACAGAGAAACTTATGCAAGTTCTATTTGATATAGATATGTTGGAAGGTCTAGGTTATGTTTTGTTCTGTTTTGTTCTTTGTTTTGCTCGAGGACTAGCGAAAGCTAAGTGTGGGGGAATTTGATAGAAGCATATTTATGCGACTTAGTTAGCTTGTTTTCTTGCATTTATGTTGTTAGTTCTTACTTATTAGAGTGTTTTAAGCTATTTTCGTGTGTTTGTAGGTCCAAATGACAAAGTTGGCAAGAAAGTGCAATTTGGAGCATTTTGGAGCAGTTTTGGGCCAAGAATGGATAGCTTATGTGGGGAGCACTTTGGATGGACATTTTTGAAGTTCAAAAGGCGAGGAATATGCTAAAGAGATGAAGAAAATAAATTCCAGACAAAGAAGATAAGGAATCAGCTCAAAAGAAGGAACCAGAACCTTATCCAACCTTATCTTATCCAAACTAACCTTATCTTATCGTATCCTATCCTAATCTTATCATACCTTAAATCCAGCTGTAAGGGGACCTAAATATCTATTTCTAGAAGCATTCCCTTCTTGAAGTCCCAATTTCTGCCACAAAACATATTGCTTCTAGAAACCCTAAAAACATGGTGCCTCCTTCCTTCTAGAAGGCCTTTGCCTTGCCTTGCGCTCCATTCCCTTTCCTTCCAATTCCTGTTGCACCTCTTTACCCTTTTTCCCTCTTGGATTCTGATTTAATTAGCCTTTTTCCTTGTGGATTTGGATTGTGTAAAGCCCTTTTTCAGAAATTAATTAGGCTGTGAACCTTTTCTTGAGGCCCAAGCTTTGTGCCGCACCCTAAGGCCCTAATCCTTGTTTTATGCTGATTTCTAACCCTAGTCTGATTTCCCTAGGGTTTGCCGTGCCTATATATACATATTTTCAGCCACAATTTTGAACCACCATCTCCCACATAATTCTACACCACAATTCACACCAATTCCCCATAAATTCATCAAGTGCCGCAGCAAAGAAGGGAAGGAAGAGAGAGGAGATTTGTGCCGTGCCACCATCCAAGGGTTGTGCCGTAAGTCACCTGCAACCATTGGAGATTTTCAGAGTTCTTCCTTCCCTCGTTTCGTTTCCATGTTTATTTTACTTTGCTTTTCAATTATTATGAACATGTGGAACTAATTTCTTTTTAGTTAGAGGTGAATTCGAAGCCATGATTATATGTTTTATATGAATTGATTACATCCAGTTATTGTTTCTTGAGTCTTGAATGTGATTTGCTTATTTGAGTTATCAAAACTTGTTTATGTATGTTGATTGAGGATGCATACTTAATTTGCATGCATGAATTTGATGCTAGAGTATAATGGAGTTTCACCTAATCGTTATGAACTTATATTCACAAGTAGTAAAAGTCACTAGTCATGATTGTGTTAAGTAAATCCTAGGCAGGAGTATCATGCTTTTCATAGTTACAAATGCCTCGTCAATGGTTATGGTTTTCAAAGAACTTAATGACCTTTGATATGTCTTCCTATCATGCTTTTCATAGTTAGGGAACTTGATAAGGATAATTTGGTTGCGATGCGTATTCCATCCAATTCAATGAATTAAGGATAATCTGATGGTTAATTTGTGCTATCACGGTTAACTTGGGGTGTTGTCATTCATAGTCTAAAGGAATAATAATTGGAAATTGGTTTATGTTGCATATGTCATGTGTGGAGAAGGATCCTCTGGCTAAGCTTTCATAATTCAAATCACCTAATTTACTTTTGTTGATACACAAAATCAGTGAGGACTTTGGTACAATAGAAAATGTTAAGTTTGTGACCTTCGCTAGATTGCTTCGGTCACTAGTGTGCATAAGTATGTAAATGGATAGAGACAGGGAAGCAAACACAAGATGTATGTGGTTCACCCAGATTGGCTACGTCCACGGAGTAGAGGAGCTCTCATTAATTATGAAGGGTTTACACAAGTACATAGGTTCAAGCTCTCATTTAGTGAGTACAAGTGAATGATTTAGTGCAAATGACATTCGGAAATATTGTGAGAGAATGATCTCTATTTATAGAAGAGAGTTTCTAGTTTCACTCTGACATTGACACGTGTCGTGTTGTGATTGACTTCTGATGTTGACACGTGTCGCTCTATGATTGGCTTCTGATGTCGACATGTGTCCCGCTATGATTGGCCTCTTGGTTGGAGGGAAACTCTTCTGGGTCCTTGACGGTATAACGTTGACCGGTGCTCAGTAGTTTCGGGATTGGTCAAGTATGGTACAAACAGTGCTCCCCTAAGTTCCCGAGTGAGGGAAGCTCCTCAGTTGAGGACTTGCAAGATCCAAGCCATTGAGTAATCACGAAACTTCTAAGTACCGAAGTGTGGTATCATTTTCACTTTCCTTATCTGTCTCATACGTAGATTGGCATCTTCTCTGGAAGTACTTTTCTTCCATCCAGGGGTGGTATCTTTAACCGATGAAGATGCACAAGGTAACGTATCAATTTCACTTGAAGCTTACTTGTAGTTTCAGCTTGGTCAAATGCGATAAAAAACCCTATAGTAGGAGTCCCCTAAGTCTGAGCTAAGAGATTTGCCGAAAAAGGTAACAGACAAGGTAATCAATCAGACTTCCAAGCAAGCAACTTGGATCAGAGGTTCGACTTCGACTTCCGGTTGATTGTTCTCCTTCTCATTGTGTCGTAAACAGCAACAAGGATAAGGAGAAGCAAATGGAGAAGAGATGATATGAGCTACTTTTGCTTTTGAAGAAGTAACTTTCCATAGGCTTATTCTTGAACTGAGCTGGAGGGTTTTCTGGTTTCCTCCAGAGTATAAAGCCTACTCAAGAATTTAAGGGTTCAAAACAAGTCCTATCAAATCAAGAGTCCATTCGACCTTAATGATATGGGATACTTTTGCTATTGATGAAGTAATAGATGAATCGGCACGTGTTCTGTTGCGTTTGTCTCCACATGCTTCCTTGTATCCTTCTCACTTGCCCTATCTGTT